CCAAATGCTTGATTCCAGAAATCCCAAAGTCTGGGCTTGATGGCACCTGAGACCTTTTCCAACCTTAGTGATGCCAGGTTCCCATGATCCCATTATGTCAATAGTCCAGGACTCCATGATTCCATGATCCCATAATTCTTTGAATTCAGAATTCCCAAAAGATGGACCTGATGATCCTGAAGCCTTTCCCAACCTAAAAGCTCCACGAACCTGTAACTGCACAATTCCACAATATCCGGGCTCCATGATCCCAGGATTCTCAAAGCTTGAACTTGATGGTCTTGGAGATTTTGCCCAACCTCAGTGATTCCATGATTCCATGATCTCACAATTCCAAAATCCCAGGATTTTCAGAAGTCACACTTGATGATTTTGGAGACCTTTCCCAACCTCAGCCATTGCATAACTCCATGAGCCCATCATTCCAAATTTCCAGGGTTTTTAGGTGTTGAACTCTATGTTTTATGTGTTGAACTCAGTTTCAGCAATTCCATAATTCCACGATTCAATTTGACAAAAATTCCATGATTCCTTGATCTCATAATTCGGTAATTCTGAAACCTTGAACTTGATGGTCTTGGAGACCTTTCCCAAACTCACCCATTCCAAAACTCCATGATCCCCTGATTCCAAAATCCCAGGGTTTACAGGGGCTGAGCTCAATATTTTTGGAGTTCCTTCCCAACCTTGCCCATCCCACAATCCTACAATTCCAGGCATGCAATCCCAGCTCTCATTCCCCGTGTTTTTCCTGGGAATCCCAACATTCCCAGCTCCCACCGATCCTCCCTGAGACCTCACGTCTCCCTTTTCCCTCCCACCAGCGACCTCCAGGCTCCGTTGGAAAGCTTGGAATTGGCCTCCTGCTCCCTCGTTCCCGATGACCTCGCCTTCCTCTCCCAAAGCATCCACGCTCCGGCCCTCAAAAGGTTGGGTCTGAGCGGCCATGACTTCTCCCAAGGCCTCCTGGAGCCGCTCCGGCTGCTCCTGGAGGAAACCTCGGCTTCGCTGCTGTACCTGGATCTCCTGGGATGCGGCATGGCCGACTCCCACCTGGAGGCGCTGCTCCCGACGCTCCGGCGCTGCTCCCGCCTGCGCTACCTGAGCCTCCATGGCAATTCCCTGTCCATGGCTGCACTCAAGGGTCTGCTCCAGAAAACCTTGGAGCTGCCGGATCTTAAACTGGTCGTGTATCCTCGCCCCATGGATTGCTACAGGCTCGAGCCATGGGAATTTGGTCAGGGTTTCAGAAAGGTTCTGCACGAGGAACTTTTGGCAGCGGCCACCGCAGAGATTTCCCAGCTTCTGGAGAATTCCGGGAGAACCGACATTGTCTGGACTGACAATCCCTGGAGACACGAAGCCCCGGACTACTTCTCCTTGTGATTTGGGAAAACCTCAGAGGAAGGAAGAGCTCAGAACCTACCTCATGTAAAAGCGCCGCCGCCTCCTTCCCAAAATCTGGGTGTTTTCCACCTCATCCCGACGCTT